CCGGGACCGGGGCCGGGCTCCCCGCTCCCCCGCCGCCTGCGCGTGGCACCAGACAGGGATGGGTTGACCAAATTAAAGCAAAAAAGGTCAAAAGAGCCCGTATTTGGTCTTACCCGGCAGCTCCACCAAAGCGCGGGCACGTTTGCACCCGCGGCTGAGCGCCAGGAGAACGGGGTCTGGGGTTTTCCAACCCAACGAGTCAACCTAGATGAGATGGTTTGGTGAGGGGGAAAAGGGGATATATCAGCTCTGGTTCAAAGAGGGGCAGTTCCCCTTTGGACTGTCTCCAAAAGGGATTCAAAGGTTGGCGTTGTTTCCACTTCTGAAGTCACCTTGCACTGCATGGTTTCAAAAGCGCATCCCTGAGACGGAGCTGAGCGGCCGAGGAGGTCCCAGACAGCTCCTGCTCCCTTCCTTTGGGATGTGGCTGCACTGAGGGCTTTAGTATCTGGCCTGATGTTAATAAATGGCCTCAACAGGCTACCTTGTAAGAGCCATTGTGCTTCTGCCAGCACCAGTTGCTCCATCAGCTTGGATATTTAATAGCCAAATGAATGAGCAAACAGAATCATCAACGCTTCCCTGCCAGCCATCCAGGCTGCACACGCTGTGCACAATGTGCTAATCCCCCCTGGCTGTCATTGCACCCCCAGGCTCTGGGTGCTTTGCCACACCGGACTGAAAGGCTTCTGCTGTTTGTGCTGGGTGACAGAGCGAGCCGGATCCCCCTGGAGCAGTGATGCTGACCTGAACCATCCCTGCTCTGGAGACTGGGATGAGTGTGGTCCTGCCTGCTGCTGCCTGGCTGTCATCTTTGGGAGTTGGTGGTCACATCTTAGGGCAAGCAGGAAGATGAGCACGCACCAGCACTATGGCATGAGGCCCTGAGCTCAGATCCTGGCCCTGGCACTAACCCTGGGGCAGTCCTATCCCAGAGCACAGGTGTATCTGCCTCACGGACAGCCCAGCAATCTCAGAGCTGCTCTCACCAGCATGAATTAGCCTGCAAATAAGCTATGTAGCATCACAGAGACCTTCCATGGGATGGGCCGTGCAGGCAGACTGGTGGCTCTGACCCACAAAAACGCCAAACAGCAGAAGCAACTGAGTTATTCTTTTATTTCATTGCTTCTTAGTCCACACGGTCGGTATAAAATCAGAAAAGCAAAGCAAAAAGAACCAAAAACAAAACAACAAACCACCCCAATAAACCCCAAAATTAAACAAAAAACAACAGCAACACAGTGTCTGGAGTCCTCAGAAGGCAGCCTGGGGTCTGTGCAGGTGCCTGTTCAATTCATGGCCAGACACATCGCTGACATACAGACGGAGGACAGACATCTCACTCCGGCACCAAAGACCAGCAGGGCTCCAACCAGAGCTGTTTCTGTTCCTCTTGACCACAGGGGGGGAAAGAAGGAACCTTGGTTATAAATGCTTTATTAAAATAATAGTAAAAGCCAGTCTAAGTACAAAAGCAGTTATAGCTCATTTATATTACACAGAATTATTTCTCATTTCTAGCTTTCTCGTTTACCTCAAGATTGTTAACTGAATTTCCAGTGAATAAGGTTAAATGGCTAGCAGTATAAGGAATGGTAAATAGATAGCACCATGTCATATATCTGGTATTTGATTTCATAGATATACTGGGTTTGCTTCTTTCTCATTGGTAGTTTAGCTCCGCAGCAAGGATAAAGCACATTTCACGGTCGGGAGCATCACTGCCCCGGTGCTTGGCTTGGCACGGCTCGACACCCACCCCAGCCCCACTGGCACAGGGGGCACCCCTAAAGCTGGCCTGGGTGAAGGAGGACAGCCCGTGCTGGATGGCAATTCAACCTAAGTGATTTAAAAGCCCAAATTCCCAGTGGGTGTGGAGGAAAGGCAATGGGATTTAGGCACATAAGTCATTTAGGCACTTGGGGCAAATCAAAGCCTTTGCTCTGAAATCCTTCAAACCTTTCGGAAGCATCTCCCGTCAGATCTGGATGTGCACTTCGGTTACCAGGATCACAGCATGTGGCAGAAGTGGGGACCAACCCTTTGGCTGGCGTAAACAGGCGTAACTCCGATTTATGCCAGCCTATAAACCACTCAGAGCTGGGGTTTTCTGATGGTTCGATACGGGCTGGGATGGGGAAGGAGAGTTCAGCTCAAAGAGGATTTTGCATGAGAGAGAAAAGAAATCACTGCGCTCTTGTTACACTGTTAGGAGTAATAGTTCCTTAGGCACTTGCTTTAGGCTTTAAAACATAGCGTAGGGTCAACAAAAGCAAACAATACTATGTACATATATGTAAAAAGTGTTATAAATAGGTTTTTTAAACCATAGATACTATATACATCTTCAATTAACAAGTAACCCTTTGAGTGTTTCCTTGGGGGGGGTCAGTTGGGTTTGGTTTTGGTGGGAGGGTTTATTCCTTTTCTTGTTTGGTTAATTTTCTTTTCCGTTTTCTCGTCTATTTTCCCCCGCCTCCGTCTCCTCCGTGGACATCAGGAGTGCCCCTTGTCATGCCAGGCCACCTCCCGCAGCATCACTCGCGCTTCCGTAGGATGACATAGATGATGCCGCTGGCCAGGGCCAGGGGGAAGGCCAACCACGCCAGGATATAGGCAAAGCCGTAGGAGGTGTTTTCCGAGGCTTGGTGCCAGTCCGTGTGCCTCACTGTGAAGATGGCAGCGCCGCTCATCACGCACAGCCCTGCCAGGGAAGCACACAGGAGGTTTAGGTTGGATAATAGGAGCAATTTCTTCATCAAGAGGGTGTTTGGGTGTTGGAACAGGCTGCTCGGGGAATGGTAGAGTCACCAGCCCTGGAAGTGTTCACAAACTGTGGAGATGAGGCCCTCAGTGACATGGGTTAGTGGTGGCCTTGGCAGTGCTGGGGTAAAGGTTGGATTTGATGATCTTTAGGGGGCCTACAAGGATGCTGGGGAGGGACTCTTCATTAGCGACTCTAGTGGTCGGACAAGGGGTAACGGCTTTAAACTTAAACAGGGGAATTTTAGGTTAGATCTAAGGAAGAAGTTCTTCACAGTGAGGGTGGCGAGGCACTGGAATAGGTTGTCCAAGGAAGTTGTGAATGCTCCAACCCTGGAGGTGTTCAAGGCCAGCCTGGACAGAGCCTTGGGCGACATAGTTTAGTGTGTGGTG